TAACTGGTAAAAGATGTGCAAGTCCATCAACAGCTATCAAGCGGATGAAACATGTAAAATGTATCTACCCATAATCCTTGTCGGTCTGAGCTTTGTAGCTTTTCAGGTGACTAACTTTATTGAAATAAGTGTATACAATAATTCAAAATAATTCAAAAGGTGATAGGCGAAAAGCAATAGGAGATAGGTCATTCCAAGATTCAAAAATAGCTGGAATGATTTGTGTTTCTGATTTTGKAAATGTTGTTTGTAGTCGACGAAACCATTTCTGTCTCAGAATGACCTATCACCTATCGCCTTTGGCGATGACAACGTTTTTTGAAATATGTGTATACATAGAAACATACTTTATCTGAATTATTACTGATATTAAGTTGGTTTAAAGAGACGATTTCAATCTAAGTTTTTTGTCACTTCAACGACGAGTACAAATTCAATAGACGTTTTTATACCTATACTTGCAGAATCCCTTTCGGTAACTTTTTTTGTTGTACTAATATTCACTATTGTCTTGGTATTCTGGAAGAATTTCTTAACATTTGAATGTGAATAGACATTTGGAAATAAGGATTGTGGTAGTTTAGGCTAAGGTCAAATTGATATTGACACAAACATTGATTCRTTTCAGCACACTTTCTAGAAACCCAATTAAAGTGATCGAAGAAGAAGCATTTTTGTCACTACCAAAACTTAAAYTACTGTAAGAACAATAGAGGCTTTGCACCATCACGTGATGGCAGCCATRACAGGAGGGCAGGAACAATTAAATCTGGTCTAGTCTGATTTACATTAGAAAGAATTCAGTTTCCCAGGGGAAAAGACTCCATTGCTGTTACTCCTGTCATGGCTGCCATCACGTGATGGTGCAAAGCCTCTATTGCTAGTTAATCATATTTACATACTTATTTTAATAAACGTCAGTCAATGAAACTAAACTTATAAAGCTTAGATCCCTGTTAAGGATCATGGGAAACAATTTGTGTCAAACAAGCTTCTGATACAAACTGAAGCTTGAGGATGCTCAAAGGAGGTGAAACTAACTGGTAAAATATCTAACAATAGTTACCAAGCGGTAAATTGCAAAATGTATCTACGGTTACGCCACAAAATGTAATAACTCGCACAAAATGTAATACTGACACAAAATGTAATACAAACTGACGCAAAATGTAAAACTGACACAAAATGTAATAAAGTTGCTAACACAAAATGAAATAAAATTTGACACAAAATGTAATAATTACTTACCAACTTACCTACTTACTTACCTACTTACTTACTCCCTCACTCCCTCACTCACTCACTCACTTACTCACTTGATGGTAGCTTGCTTGCTTGCTTGCTTGCTTGCTTGCATGCTTGCTTGCTTGCTTGCTTGCTTGCATGCTTGTTTGCTTGCTTAATTGATTGATGGTTGCTAAATCCAAAAGTAGCAACAAACTAGCTATATTCCAAAAGCATGTGCGTAGTTTTTCTTGACAAAAGGAACTTATAATGCTTATTCATTGCTRTTATCTATTATTGCAGTTTATTTTTATGATTATTGGACGTCATAGTTGACATATACTATGATTTTTTATTAAAATTTT